CTTTAGTGGTGCCTCGAGGAAAAAGATAATTTGCATATTTAAATAATTCACAAACTATCCATTTTAGAATTCGAGCGTTTAATACCCCTACACTGTTATTAAATCAGATTTAAAAAGGGATCATTTTAATCGTTCACAAGGTTTAAAAGGAAATATCAAGTCTGTTTTCCTCAACCAGACATGATTATTTTAGTTTTTCAGACATAATCTAATGAATTTAAGACCTTCACTGCCTCTACTTCCTGTTTTATTTCATTATTACAGCTCAGACCTACAGTTTATCTAAAATAATCACATTTAGTGGATCAGTGGTGACCCGGCTTTTAAATCAACTAATGTTTTGTTTTTTGAGCAGAAATCTGTGAAATTAAATAGTCTTTTATCAAAATTAATGGTTTGAAAAGTTAATCCTCGTGTCTCTGGTGCTTAAAAGGATAAATATTAATGATATTAAAGAAAGAACATCATTTATATTCTCCATTCAGGAGAACAAATAAAAACTGTAATAAAACTGCAGAGGAATGTCCCAACAGAGTTATCTGCAAATGATTGAAGGGGCCGCTGCGAGGCGAGCTGGGGCAGGAAGTGTCTGATTACAGGACGGGCGAGGAGGTCGATAGATAACCGCTGGGAACAAAGAAAACTCTGCACCGTCCAGCATCAGAACATCCATAAAACCAACTCTGAGAAACCTGGTTTTATCTGAAAACCAGGAGATAAAATGTGGTTTAAAGGTTGAGGTTTTAAACCCTGAAAACGAGCCTAATGTGGTGTTGCACCTTCAACTTTTCAAGGAAAGTGTTGAATTCCTCTTTTCTGAAGAAACGTTCTGCTTCAGCTCAGAAACACTAACGGACGGAGCTGACAGTGCTCAGATCTTAAACCAAAGAAAAGGGCGGGAACGCTGCGGCACGTCACTGGGAGCGTGGCAATTAAAGATAATTACATTTAAAATAAATCAAAGTAGCTTCAGACACAAGTTTGACTCAGGTCCATCCAGCCTTTTAAGCAGAATACTTAAGAACATCTTAAATACAGATCAGTTTCAGGGGTACACGTACCTGGTTGTCCGCAAAACATTGTTTGTCCAAAAAAATTTAAAAAAAATCTCAATAAAAATGTAATTTAATAAAGTATTTTGTTCTGTATACAAAGATTACTAAATACAAATGTTCTCAGTCAGCAGGTTTCAGGAGCTGCTCGAGTAAAACATCCTCCTCTTCTTCCTCAACATCCAAATTATTTCTGCTCACAGGTCAAACATTTTAATTTAAATAGGAGTAAACTGTGTACATGTCACACTAGACACCGTATGCCAACTTATGAACATTTTAAAGACGTTTACATTAAAAATGGAACTGAAAAAAAAAATCAACAGGAAGCTTTTTTTTAGGTGTGTACATAATGTAATTATAATAAATTGATTAAATATATAAGTTTTAATAGCAATTTAGATGTAAAAAATGTTTCATAAGTTGTCTACTGTGACAGGGCCTTTATTGACAGTTACAGTTTAGTGTTTTTAGGACTGAAGACTTTCTGAGGAAAGAGGTTTTAAACAGCTCTTCTGTCATGTTAGTGTTTTCAACTGAGCTTTGGTTTATTTAGCTAAAAAAATTATAGCACAGTAAGGTCTCTGCACAGAAATATACAGTATATATATA